CCTCCCTCTCTCTCTTTTTAATTGATATGATTTAGGCAGAGGAAAATGGTAAGGGGGATTTTTCTATTGCAGAAGCAATTTTTAAGGGATTTAGTCTTATTTAGCCTGAAGGTCTTCACACTAATGAGAGCACTTAAGTTACGTCCAGGCGTTGATTAGACAGCTCATCTATCAACTGGAGCATGAGAATTTGTATTTTAGGTACCTTTTATACATTATAAATGTATATGCTTTTTTTTTTTATTACTTCAGACTTTATTTTCCACAAATTTTTAATTACCTTCTTTCACATCCAAGGTGGCTGTAACGCAGCTGACAGAGCACAGGCGGTAACAGGGAAATACTCTACATTTGATGAGAAATAATATCGAAACTGTATCTGTAGAAATTGGCGTGCCGAATGCAAATTGCTACCCAGATACATTCCTTAAACCGCCGCAAGCCCCCTCAAAGTCCAAATACATTTATTCAGGGAACATGGAATTAGATATATTAAAAAATGTTTTTCCCCCCCCCCCCCCGAATTGTGAATGCTTTCTCTACCTGTAGGTTTTTTTTACCGTGTTTAAAACACAATAGCGTCTTAATTATTTTCTGAACCGTTCTGAAAAGTACAGCTTGTGTAACTTTTTGACATTTCAGATTTAAAAAAAAAAAAAAATTAAAACGTTGCCACCAGCTTGCACTATGAGCAGCCTGTAATAACAGTTAAAAAAGCTTTCTGAACTATTTGACAAGATTTCTTAGTGCTGAGGCCATATGCTGTAGCCTTTAAGCTATTTCTTCCTATCAGTTTCATTATCACCTGCCTCTGAGTCTCCAATATCATCAGTAAGCACATGCAGAATCATAATTATGCCATGTACAAGTTCTTTGATAACATGTACAGTTTTCTTCTTAATTCTTTATCAAATGCATTGATCGTGGCATGTGTGCATTGATCCAGGTCCACCATCTGGCTGTGTGTGATAAGCACAGTGGCATCTTTGCATTTCCACTGTCATTCATTGCGCTACAATTTGGCTGCAGGGGAGTAGTGGCTGGGATTAGCCCTGTTCTGCTACTTACTTGCATTTTAAGTTGACACCTCTACAGCGGCTCAGACCACATTACAAACTGAAACACATACGCACGACTTAGTGATGTGACACTCCTCAATAAGCTTACTCCACTAGCTACTCAACAATCTGTAATTGGATTTGTAGGAATAACAGCAAAAGATTTCCTAAGAATTGCTGGGGACAGAAGGTGAAGTTTTCTCATTATTGGCAAAAGGCTAGGTATAGATCCTAGGCGATTGGTATTTTCCATTAAAAAAAGCTGCCAGCAGTTTGCAGGACGTTTTCAAAAAAAAAACCCAGCAAAATAGGATCCGGGGAGGCGTCAGGTTTGCACTTGTTCTTTCCACTCTCATCACACACCAGTGGACTGGGATCTCGCCACCCTTCCCCCAAAATTGAAAAGGAGGGGGAACCCCCCAACTTTGGGAGGCATCCTGCAGCCTGCTCTGCTTTGTTGGGCTGGGAGGGAGCCGGGAGCATTCCTCAGGAGGGCACGTCCTCCTCCTCCTCCTCCTCCTCCCTCGGCGCAGGGTTGCCTGCCCGAGAAGGAAGCTTCCCAGGATGGCAGTCTGAGAGATGCCGCACTCCAGCTTACGCATCCCGTACGCTTGCCAAAAGTCTTTGTTTCATAACGCCACTTTTTTTTTTTTTTTTAAATTATAAAGTCAAGTTTACACAAGAGAAAATCCCTTAAGTGGAGCTCGACGAATGTTGACTCCTACAATGAGTAAGCAGCTTCTTTAACTTCTGTCTGTACCTCGGCTGCGGAAGGGCACAGAAAATGCCATCCTTAGACCATTGATCTGGGCTCGGACGTTATGCCCCGTCTGGGCGATGGCACTACTTCGCCGTATTTCTCAGCCTGCAAGCTTGAGACCCTGATTGTGGGTGATGCCAATAGCATCGACAATCATGGTGACAGGCGTAACAGGCTTCTGGATCCTGACGCCTTAGGTGATTGCTGACCTTAATTTTACTTCCCAGATGAGGGAGAGCGCAAACTTACCTAAGCAGAGAAAATTCCAGGGCAGGAGTTAGCAGGGGGCTTCGTCGCCGCTTTTGGTTTCGGTGGACTTTCTGGGGAGCCCCGTCGGTCGGCACGGCCGCCCTCGCTTTGTTCGCCGGGAGAGCGCCTTGCGCTCGGGGTCGGTGCAGGCGAGCGAGGAGAGGAGGAAAACAGACGGTGTATTTGGAATTGGATATTTCAGCCTGCCCTTAAAACTTGCCGTAGAGCCAAGGGCAGTGTGAAATAGAAATGCTCGCCTTGATCGTCACGCAGATGTGCAGCTCCTAAAGGGTTAAACGGGTTAAATCTTATTTATCTGAATAGAACTGCAGGGCTGTTTTGCAGAATGCTCTAGCACAAATACCTATGGTTCACTTTGACGTTACAATTTTTTTGTTGGTTTCTTTACTTTAAATACTTGAACTGTTAGACCTTTTACTTTTTTCTCTGAGAAAGATGTATTTGTACCAGATTAGAAAAGCTAAACTGTTTCTTTACATTGAATAATCAGCCTGTCATGACAAATCTATCTCCTTCTGCATGAGTAGGTGCCAGTTTGACTAGCTTCTTTTAGGCTCACACTGGGTTTTAAGCTGGATCCATGTGCATGACTGGCAGTGCATTTGTTGGGCCAGATCTAAGGAGCCAGAGAGCGTTCAGCTCCTTTTTGCCTACAAAAGAGCAGCCAGACAGCCAGCAAGAGGCCTTGGATGTAGCACAAGGTGATACTTACTTAGTCAGCCATTCTTTTTCTCAAATATATATATTTTTTTCATTCAGCAAGCTAAGAGTTTCTCGGTTTCACAATGACAGGAGGGATTAAATTATCAATGGATTGTTTTTCTACAGCCAGCGTTCTTCACACCAGAAATACTGTACCAAGCAGACTGTAGGTTTTCCAGAACAACGTAGGTTATATTACAAAAAGAAATAAAAATTTAAAAAATGCTGGCTAACTTTTCTTTAGAAGTACCTCTAGGTTTAAGGAGATGTTTTCCATTTTACAGCCACACAACCCCATTTTATTGTGAATTTTTTTTTTTTCTTAAAAGGGACAGCTTTGTTAAGACATTGTTTGTGATGCTTCCGGTTTTAGACTTTGGGCTACTTCTGTTTCCATTCTGTCTTGTCTCATTAGTCCATCAGCGCCATAGATCGTAAGCCAATAACTGCTGCTTTGTGACAAGTGATTCGATAGTTTTTGTGGTACACGCTCATGAAAAAATATTTTCAGGCTACATAGAGTTGATTGGTGGCAAGGTAGCTGATGTAGACACCAGGCAGAAGGCAGAAAATATCTAAGATGTTTACGTCTTTCTTTGCCGCCCGCTTCCTCTGATCTGACGCGCCACAGAAATCCAAAGCCGATGCACTTTTGTTTATGTCCAGTGCTCCCTGCTTAGCAATTCATGTTTTGCTCGCTACCTGTGTATCCTGAGCTGTTCTGAAGCGGCGGTAGAGACCAAACATGAATGTGGTCCCCAGGGTGATCAAAGATTTAATCTGACCAGATGGGACAAACTTGAGAAAGATTTTGACTTTCCACTCTGTTTTGCAACAAGAAAGGCTGATTTATTTTTTTTTTCTCCCGTCCTTTCTTTGTTAGAAAAGGCAGCGATCAGGCCATCCCCAGAGAAATGAGCAGGTGTGGCCATTTACAAGCATGTCTGGTTATATTATAAACCAACATAAGAAAAGTTTGAAATGGTTTGAAAAGATCTGCTAAACAGTTTTAATGTTTCATCCCAAATCCTATTTACTCAAACAAGAGCCGATCAAGGTCACAGTAAAACCCAGCCTGCCCAAACCTTTAAAGCTCATGTAATTTTTTTTTGTAATTTTTTTTTTTTTAAAATTCTGTCTTCTCTACTAACTGAATAGGTACATTTTGGTAATCCTTGCCTCTGGACAAGCACAGAAGTCTGTCTTTCTGAATGGCTAATAACAGAGCCGTTCCTCCTGTCTGATGATGAAAGAGGTGGCAGTCAAGTTCTTTCTCTCAGATGTACTGTGCACTCGGGGCAGACCGCGGACAATTTTGAAACCTACAGCTACGGGAATCGTTCCCCTCGTAGGTACAGTTCTAGTTGCATTTTGTTGCTGCGGAGTGTCACTAATTTACCACTTCCCCCCCCGCCCTCCCCCCAGTCTGTGGATACTGTAAAGAATTTTCTTTTTAAACATCAAATAAATGCAGCTCATAGGGTTATATTTTTTTTTTATAGGGAGAGGGTAATACGTTATCAGACTTCTGGTGTAAACTCAGTTTGTATCCTCCCAAAATTCTGCCAAATGACAACTGAAAGTTAAAATGGAAGAAGATTGCAGAATTTTTTGTGATTTAAGGAGATGGGGTTTATGGGGGTGCTTGGGTTAGGTTCCCCCCCCGCCGGCTCCGCCACTCCCAAGGTTTTGCTGAGTTGGGCAGCTCTCAGCTTCTGCCGCCGCCGAGCGACGGCGCTGGGCGGGGACGGGACTCGGGGAGTTCCCC